GAGTTATTTTTGTGATTGTTTCTTTTACTCCTTCTCTTGTATTATTATTACATACGCATTTGTATGTACATATTATATTTTATCTACATATTATTGTGTATTTATTTCAAAGTGACCCATTTTTGATGATACTGAGAGAACACAAATCGTAGTGCAAAAAAAGAAAAATACTATATTTAACCGTTTTCCATTGTTGAGTAAAGGTATGCCTAAACGTAATTTTTTTGACAGCTGATTGCTTTCTGTAGGCGCGATAAGCTTCATAAATGGTCACCTACTCTATAACTAATAATCGATGATGAGGTAGTTCTGAACTGAGTCAATAATTTCACTCAAATTTCTTCTCGTCCGACTATTCAAACTCTGCATGCACATAGCACTAGCTTTCTTGTTATAATATAAGATAATGTCACGTGTAATGAGTATATGTCTGGTATTATATGCATGGATAGTGTGGACAATTGAGCAAGAAATTTGTGCAACATTGTCACCCGAATTCAGAGAGCTGCATCATCATCGATTATTGATAATAGAATAGGTAACTATTTATGAATCTTACGACTACAGAAAACAATCAGCTGTCGAAAAAAAGACTTTTAGGTATATCTTCATTCTACAACGAAAAATGGTTAAATCGAATATTTTTCTTTTATTGCATTGCTTTTTATGTTCTCTCGATATTACCAAAAATATTTTACTTTAAAATAAATACAAAATAACAAATAAATAAAATATAGTATGTACATACCAATGTAGGTGACTCTGTTACCTGTACAATGACATACAAATGTAAACATAATAATAATAATAATATAAGAGGAGGAGGAAAAGAAACCATGACAAAAGTAACTTATTTTTGTTTATCAACGAATATCAGAATAATTCGATAGTTATCAGATTCTTCAAAGATTTGAATTTCAACATTTTCGATGCATAATATAATGAAAGTTTTATCTCTGAAATTTGATTTAATATTATTCAATACCGAAAAAAACCAGGATTCAATGTAAAACAATATTTTAATTTTGTTGCCTAATTTAAAAATATATCGATAATTTGTAATAATTAGATTTTCGTTTTTTCGAAGTGTTTTTATAAATAACTAATTTTCACATTCGATAGATAATATATAACATAATTAATAAAACATTTGAAAATGGCTAAATGTTAAAAAAAGAATTTACCTGTACTTTATCACTAATTAATTATCATCTATACATTTATGATATCATGAACAAAGAATGTAAGAATATGGGATTGGTTTCTTCGAGAATTCACTAAAACAGATCTTACTGATTAGTAATATTAAGTGTGTTTTGAAAGATTAAAAACAACTGAATGAAGATATTTAAAATTTGCCAATAAAAATCATCACGTATGATGATCAAAGAGACATTATGAATTTTCTATTCCTTGTTATTTAGATAGTTTGTTCGCTAGTTTTTTAACAATTCGTTTCATTATTGATAAAAATAAATGTCGAGGAGAACATCCAAAAATATGCTGACTTATGCACGTAATATATATATCAAATACAAAGGATTTTAAAATATGGAGTTATCGTCTTCGGGTAAACGAACACTCAAACAATCCACTATTCAAAAGAAACTGATAAAGTTTAGTTCTTTATTCAAGTTAATTCATCTTATTCATGTTAGTATGATACCAGAAAAAAAAGGTTCATCAGAAATTCAACACAGATAACAACAAACACGTACTGCTATTATTCTACTAGTTTGTAATGATTTATTAATAATTTCTATGCTAATATTTGTTTTTCACTGAAGATAACATGATAAATGTGCAACAATATCCTCTTATACCAACTTCAAAGTCGTGGGATCTTAATAACTTTAATGTACAAAAGTACTCATTATTTTGAATATATCTTTATTTCAATATACGATAGATAAAAGTCTTACTACTTTGTTCTTTTTAAAATCTTTGAAATTTATTTTTCATTTTCTATAACTGAACTGTACTGTTTTCTAATTCTGCATGATGATGGACACTTTGTATTAGATGCTAAATTGTATAATATATTCAAAATATTAAAGCAATGGAAGAGTCATCGGAATATAATAGTGAATTGGATTGACGCTAAGATAAACAATTTTACACATCCTTAATTAACGGAATATATGACACTACTGCCTTATGTGAATTCTGTTATTGATGTTAAAATGATGATCGTTACACATTTAAATCATTTCCATTTTGTTTAACAACATTAAATATTGAATTAGATTCCTTTTTTCTGTGGCAAACGAACTATAAAATGTTTTGAAATATGGAAATAGACATTTGGAATCTCTCCCTCTCACTACACAGATCGTAACAGTCACATTAGACACGCCACTTCTTTCTTATAAAGCATCGCAGATATATTCTCGAGTTCGAAACCTACTGTGAGATTAGAATGAAACACAGTTAAATGTAAGATAGTTGTTCTTGGTTCTTCTTTCACGCTGACTCTAATTAAATACGATTATCCTCTTTCATCATCGGCACGCATTAACAGTAGGTAGTAATTCATAAATTGAACCTCATGTTAGTCAATTCCTTCTTTTACATTCTGATACTACACAAATAGCGCTAATGGTTCTCTTTTTATTATCTATTCATTATTAAACTTTTTATTCTACATGAAAAATTTGTAATAAATGAGAAAGTTTATCAAATGATTGTTCATCAGTTAAAATTTGTTCATTTTTTATTGATGATATATCATCAAGTAATTGTTTTTGTTGTTTTTCAATATCATTCCACATTTGTTTATTTGTTTCAATAAATAATTGATCAACAGCTTTTGAACCATTAGTAATTTGTTGATAAAGATCATGAACAATTTCATTGAATTGATCAATATGAATTTTAAATGTAAATAAAAATGATTTTAATGAATCATCTGTTTTTTCATTATTCATACGATTAAAATCATTGATTATATTTA